CAAGCCTTAGTTCTCGGCTTTCATGCTTACCATTGCAATAACTTCAAAAGGATTAAACAGAAAGAATGGTAATCTCTCAACGCAACCTTGTGTTCAGGCCAGTAATCATGTATTTAGCTATCATGCATTCACTACTAGATAATTGCCTCCTTAAATTATGTTTTAATAAATATAATAATAATTAAGATTCTGTTATAAAAAAAGCAAAAACTCAAACTATTGAGAAATGAAATCCAGAGCCCAAGGGATTCCTAGAAGAAAATGAAAAAGAATTAGCACCAAGTAATAGACATCTTCAAAGGAAAAGAGATCATTTAAACGTGCCTTTTTACTTACTGAAATATGGTCTGCATATTTTATTGTTTTTGTCGTCTTGCTTGTTATAATCCAGCTAGTGAATGTTCAAAGAACATGAAATCCTACAAATAAATACACTGGGTCTGAGTGAATTTACAAAAAGGCAACAATGAAGATCACGAGTCTGACATGCAAGCTTTGATGATGCAAAGTGATTATATTTCCCAGTGGTGTTCCAGTCACATATGGATTATCAGTAGGTGAAAAATGAAAAAGTTTCAAGTTTCATGACACATGCTGAATTTTCAGAGTATGAACAACTTGGAGACCTTATTTGGAACCAGTACAGTTATCATCAAGTTAGAATTTGGGTGATCAAGACTACAGAATTAGATTATCAGACATTCTGGGTCAGTGAAGAAAGTTGTGATAGAAATAAGATACGTGGGACCAGCAGTTAGACTAATGGCTATGTCGCTGGACTCCCACGTAGCTGACTGCGGTTCAAGTCCCGGACCCGGTGGCTTAAACTCACGCCGGGTGCGTGTGTGTGTGTGCCCAAGATCCCGAGAAGAGAATGGAGGAGAAGGGATTGTGGCGTGGCCATTCCCCCTCTGTCTGTCTGGTGAGCGCACGCACCCTATAGCAAAAAGCTCTCAAAAAAAAAAAAAAGAAATAAGATATGTCATCACAGAGGATGCGATCAGCAGGTGAGCAATCATCTTCAGAAGTGCTGAGAATTATGTCAGATGCAACATGGAAAGTGTGTGTGTGTGGGGTGCTGGAGGATGTGAAGGGGGAGTCTAGATCCAGAAGAGACCCACATTAGGGTGCATTTGTGAATTCTGTTGCTGAGATTGGGGAAGACCCTTATGCCAGCAACTTTCTTTCTGAGATTAGAAAAGACCTTTACGCCAGCAGCTTTCTTTCTTTCTTCTTTTTTTAAAAAAAATATTATTTATTTATTTTCATTTGTTGCTATTATTATTTATTTACTTACTTTTGGAGAGGTTTTCGCTGGAGGGCGCATGTGCTCATCAGAGAGACAGAGACAGAAAGCAAGAAATCACCCCCCAGAAGGGATGGCCATGCTACAATCCCTTTTCCTCTATTTGCCTCTTAGGATCTTGGGCACATGTGCACACACGCCTGGCATGAGTTTAAGTCACTGGGTATGGGATTCAAACGGCGGTCGACTACATGGGAGTCTAGTTACATAGCCATTACACCAACTGCTGGTCCCGATTATTTTTTTAATTTGACAGAGAGAAAGAGAGAAAGGGAAAGCAAGAAAGCAAACTGCCAGGTTTGGGACTTGAACCATGGTTGGCCATTTGGGGATCCAGTGCCTTTAAGCACCAACGTCACCAGCTGGCCCCATTTTCTTTTTCTAAAAAGATTTATTTATTTATTTGTTTTCATTTGTTTTATTATTTTTAAATTTGACCAGACAGAGACAGAGAAAGAGGGAAAATGAGGAAGGAAGCCACCAGGTCCGGGACTCGAACCACGATCGGCCATATGTGAATCCAGCACCTTTAACCACCATGCCCCCTGCCGGCCCCACGCCAGCAGCTTTCTAAAAAAGCTCTCTCACCATAAGGCAATAAGATGGGGAGGTCATTTAAATATTAAAAGCATCATTCTTTGTGTGGAATTACATATAGATGTTGAGTAATTCATGATGGGAAACATGAGGAATAGTTTTAAAAGCTATGTTGGCAAAAAAATGATGCAAATGTTGTCTAATGTCATAGTAAAAAGAAAAAAAAAAGTGGATGGAAGCCATGAGCCCTCCTTGGTGAGTATGTTTGTCCTGTAGATGCCAGATTTGAACAGTTATCCTTTTGGATACTGGGCGCGTGTTATCCAGGTCAGCGCTTCTCTGATTGGTAGGGCATGGAGAATCACCTGGGTACCATGTTCACTCGCAGGCCCTGGTGCCCTGGACTGGAGTCCGAGAATTTGCGCTGAGAGCCAGCTTACACGGTGCAGCTGCTGTCCTTGACACCACACTCTGAGAAGGTCCTGCACTGATCTTTCTTAAAAAGCTAACTCCCTGGGCCAGCAGGTGGCATGGTGGTTAAGGCGCTGAACTCCAACATGGTGGACCGTGGTTTGAGTCCTGGACTTAGAGGTTTCCTTTCCTACTTTCCCTTTCTCTCTCTGGTGAAATTAAACAAGTAATAATGATAATAATAAATGAATACAATAATTCTTAAAAAAAACCCTACACTGCATCAACTTTCCAATTAAATATGGGATCGGTATAGAGGAAACATATGTCCTCAATGAGAACATATGTTTACAGGGTTTCTGAACATGATTAATAAGAAAAATGAGTAAGTTTCAAGATATAGAAAACCTGGGGACTGGCAGGTGGCATGGTGGTTAAGGCACTGGATATTCCCACATGGCTGACCATGGTTCAAGTCCTGGACCTGGTGGCTTGCTTTCTCACTTTCCTCTCTCTCTCTCTCTCTGTGTCTCTCTCTTGTCAAGTTAAAATAAATAAATGAATGAATGAATAAAATAAAAAAAGAAAAAATATAGAAAACCATAGTTCCACTTTTGATGGGATATGTTTTGCCATGAGCCTATTATATAAAATAGGTGAGTAGGGCAGATTAAAGATTTATTTATTTGTTTTAAGATTTTTGCCATAGAGTGTATGTGTTTGCCAGAGAGAGACAGAGAGAGAAGTGAGAAACTACCTCCTGGCGTGGGAGAAATTTAGCTACATTGGAATCCCTTCTCCATTCTCCTCTCAGGGTTTTGGGAATGCACGCAAACACACCTGGCGTGTTTTTCAAGCGATCGGCTCCAGGACTTGAACTATGGAGGTGGTCATGTGGAATTCAGCATCTTAACCACCATGCCACCTGATAGCCCAAGAAAATCTATTTTTTAATAGAAACTGTAGAGTTTAATCAAAAAGGCCCAATTAAGGTCTCGGGAAAAGGATGTATGTCTGTGTGTGTTTGGAAGATTGGTGTTGAAATATAGAATATTTAAAAATGTGAAGGATGAGCCGAAAATGACAAATTAAAATCATTGTCAAGTAGATAGAAGAGCATAGGGTACAGAAAAAACTTTAGCTGACAGTTAAAGTTGGTTGGTGCTAGTTAGATTTGTAGATGAACATAGGAATTGAGGGTGACTAGTTAGTAATTCTAAAAACCTAGTACTCTACATATGTTAATTCTATCTTCTGCCAATCATAGAAAACTAAGAAATTGAAATAACTTTTCTAAAATTATGGAGAAGTTATCTATTATCTATCTATCTATCTATCTATCTATCTATCTATTTATATCTATCTATCATCTATCATTTATCTATCTATCTACCATTTACCTGTATCTCTATCTATCTATCTATCATCTATATTTATCCATATCTATCTATCATCTCTCTCTCTCTCTCATCTATATGTACCTGTCTCTATCTATCTCTATCTATCTATCTAACTATGGATCTATCTATCATTTATCCATCTATCTCTGTGTTAAGTTCTAAGCCTTCATCACTGATGTCATTAGGGAATTATTTTTAGTTAATACATTTCCCGAGTGTCTTTAGAAGACACTCAGTAAATAGCACTGACTCTATTGCACAGCAGTACACAATACTATACTCCAAAATTTAGGGCCTTAAAACCCTGAAGAACAACAAGAGATGAGAATGTAGGTTATTTAAAAATTCCATGAGTTTTGGTGGGTGCATTGAAAATAGCATTAAATGCAGAAGTTATCAGAGGGGGGATTACAAGCAGGAAATCACCCAGCATTTTGGCACAATTATAACTTGACTTCTATTAACAATTTCATATAACACAAGAGAAAATGTTTGAAACAAAATGATAAGTTGGAAAGTTAGGGAAAGGACATAAAATCTTTGTAATAGTGACAATTAGTCCCTCTAAACTCATTCATGTCACCTCACGTTTCTATGTTCATATTGGAAGAGCAAAAAAACAATGTTTCACATTCTGAATGTCACCAGTTCATTGTTACGTGATGAAACAGTTCTAAACTCTACCCAGGATAAATCACATGATACTTATGTCTACATATTTTTCAGCTACACTGAACATCAGCTGAATATCTAAACGATAGTTGAAATAGAAGGGAGACTCAGTATTTGAGGAAATAATGAGCGAGATGCAAGGGGATATGGATATTTGTGGAAAAGGGAGGATGAATCCAGGGTAGACGGGCTTCCTAACAGCATGCTGGCATCTAAATTCTGGTTTATGAAGAACGTCTGTCTCAAGCTAGCCCTGCATGCACACCACATGCTCCTTGGGAGCATAACGTGTATGTTCTAGAACTGGCAGTATAGTAATTGACCAGGGAGAAGGAGGGGAACGAACCACTCCCTCTCCCGAAG